CTTGTCAACAGTTTGATATCCAACTCCCTAGTCCAAGGGTACAAATAATCACTTGTTAATACTGAACTTAAGTATTGCTGAAAAATAGACACACTGTTGAAGCTTTTCTTCTTGCAGTACTTGAAGCTATGTGTATTAATATGCAGGGTACTGTTTCATACAGACAGAAAGGAATACTGTTCCCATTTCAACCCAACAAAACAGTTGTCAGCCTTTTCACGGTGCATCCCTTGGGGCAACACTTTGACCAATCAGAGTCAAACTGTCTGGTTTAAAATGTAAACTTTAGACAAAGTTTGGCATTTAACTGTCAGTCATCAACTAATTGGTCCATGGTGACTCCTCTACTTTCAGACAGTATAAATGTTCATTTCACTTTAAATTGACATTTCTCGTGAGCTGTCTTGATGAGAACAAGACAAAAGGACTTGACAAACTGCCTTTTTTACAGCAATTCCAGAAGTATGTTAACTTGCTTAAAGAAATAAAGGAATGGCCTATTAAGATGACTAAAGGCTATGATAGCGAAGATTGGAAGAAACCACTTTGTCTAGTTTGGGGGAGGATGGGAATCTGGGAAAAAAGGGGGCAAATAATTAAACCTGGATAGTGGCTGTGTTCACATGAAGGACAGGGGAAAGCTGCAACTCCCTGCACTAAAAGGCTGTTGAGAAAAATTGAAAATGCCAGAACTGAGCTTGATAGATTCAGTTAAACAAGTGTACGAAGGAACCAAAAACAAAACTGCTCCAGCTGCTGCCAGAAATCCTGAGTGTCTTCAGCACTTTCTGCTTTTATTAGGGAAATGAAGGTACTAAGGATAGAGTTGAGGTACATACAGCATAGCTGCCCTTGACCTTCTGAGTAGTTGAGGTCACAGGTTTAGAAGGTGCTGTTGAAAAGATCTTTGCAACTCCTGCCGACATCATCCACAAACACAGGCTCAGTTTTACGAACCTGATGGCAACACCGAGAGCTACCCCAGTACCAGCTATGTCGAGCCCTCATTGCCTCTTGATGGTCATACAACTTTTATGACCTCCAGTGCTGGACTGGGTGAGCAGGAATTTCATCCAAAGAGGCATTGTGAAGGACAAAGCCATTATATTCAGTCTTTGCCTACATCCATGAATTCCAACCCTTCCCCTGGCAATTGCCCAAGATTGAACGGGACTGCTCGCAACCTCAGTATCATATTTGATCTTGACATGAGCTTTTAACCCTATATCTACATCAGTGTTAAGCTAAACCTGGCCCAGCTCTGTAACATTGTCTGACTGTCTGACTCTGCCCCTGCCTCAGCTTATTAGGAGCAGAAACCTTTGGCAGGTTGGGGGGGTGGGTGGTGAGGGAGGGTGGTAAAGTGTCTCTTGGCTCAGGTGGCTGGACAGCTGATTTGCCAATACAGCATAAAATCCATAATACAGGTTCAACTCCCACATGGGCTAGGATCACCAGAAAGGTCCTGCCTTCTCAGCCTTGGCACCTGGCTGACGCATGGTGACTCTCAGGTTAGACTCACAACCAGTTGTCTCTCTCTCATGAGGGAATGGTCTATAATCCACTGCAGCTAAAATGACTTTACCTTTATTTTATAACTATTCTAAGCAATCCTGGCTAGTGTTCTATGTTCTACTCTTTCTTAACTGGAGGTCTTCTAAAGTTCTATTGCCCTTGTCCTGACCCTTGTCAGATCCTGTTCACCAATCATTTCGGTGCTCGCTGATCTGTGTTGATTCCCAGTTAAACCAGTTCTCCATTTTAAAAATTCTCCTCCTAGTTTTCTCATTCTAGTCCCATGGCCTAACCTTTTCTTATCAGGAGGTAATCACCTCCAGCCACCTGACCCTCCAAGATATCCTATTCTGGCCAATTGGGCATCGAAGGTTTTAATTGCTCAACCAATGGTGGCCATGTCTTCAACTGCCAAAGCCTTGAATTCTGAAACACCCTCCTTAAACCTCTCAGCCCCACTACCCCTCTTTTCATCTTTAAGGTATTGCTTGAAAGCTACCTCTTTATCAAGGCTTAAGTTACCTCTCTTTATGCCTCCTTAAGTGTCTCTGTGTCAAACCTTATGTGTGAAGCACCTCTGGGCAGCTTACTACTTTAGAGCAGTTATATTAAGGCAAGTTGTCATTATTGCGATCCGGGGGAGCAGTTAGCTCACAACATTTCAGAAAGACCGACCTTTCTGCTGCCAATGTAAATTGAACCATTGTACAGCTGACCTGAAATACCTGGAATTACAATTTAGTGGCTTATACTATCGTATTTTTTTCAGCTAAAATGGCCAATATATGTCACAGGAAGTGTTGAACTATGAAGAACACAGATCAGAGATACAGTTTTGTGCAAGATGCTTGCATAGTCATTTTTCCATGACAGGCTTACTTTTGCAATACTCAAATGCCATTCACATGTTTTTATCAAAATAATCAAAGTGCCACTCTTTAAATTTTGAAGCTGAACTCATAAAACAGAGATATTCATCAAGATAAATTGTTCTTAGAATAACCCATTTGAAGTATCTACTATTATATACAGCTTTTTCCTCATTAGCCTCTATTTGACAATGATGGTATGCCATATCTGACACTTTTCACTATAAACACTCTCTGGATTATTAGCTGTTATGAAAGCCTCAGGTATATAGTTCTCTGGAACATTTTGACTCTTGCACAATCCTGATTTTTATTGCTCCACCACTGACGGCCATAATGCAGTCAACTCGGTCCTAAACTCCAGAATTCTCTCCCTCGAGCTCTCTGCCTCTCTCTCTCTTTCCTCTTTTAAGTTACTTCTTAAAACTTACCTTTTTGGCCATGCTTTAGACCACCTAGACTAATATGCCCTCATGTGGCTTGGTGTCAGATTCAAATTGATAACTCTCCTATTGAAATGCCTTTAATCATCCCACAACATTAAAGTCGCTACATAAATGCAAGCTGTTATTGTTGTTAACCTTGATGCCTGTCATAAACAACTTGTGCGTTCAGAAATTGTTTTGGAGGGATGGGAATTAAATGACTGATTTTAAATCATGAATCATGTTGGAGCGCCTACACATTGTGGCATGGAAGGGTGAGGTTGGATTTGGCTTCTGACATTCATTCTCCAAAAATGTTTTCCAAGCCAAGAAGTTGCAAATAGCAATTAGTATCTTCTAGCTACAGAACAATGGAGTTAGTTTCCTTATTCTTAATGAACACTAAATTGTTCCCCTTTTTCTGACATTTTCTACTATTAAACAGTCCCTATAAGGTGTACTGCCAAATTGATTAATTTGTGGCTCCAGTGCAATTTCACATTATTTTATGGCCCTATGTTTCAGCATCTAATCATAAAGGCAAAGCCATCTCTCTCTATTCTGACTTTAAATAACTTCAATGTCAGCAGCTGATTGCTGCCTTACAGATAAAAATATTTCCGACTGTGTGACCCATCAATCTGTAGCTATTTGTAGGGTTTATACTGCAGTTACTGCTATGGAGCGGGGTCCCCCCAGTTTTCCCATTCAAATAGATCACTCATTACATCTTCATCAGAGTAGGCAGCATTGAGAAGCTAAAACAATTCCACATGTATAGGATGAGGCAGTGTGCAGTATGACTTAGAAATAAACTATAGTTACGAACATTCTAGAAATGAAACAGCAACCTAACTGCGAAGTTTAGCACCATTCAAGAATGAAAATTAGACCTTTATACAAGGAATGGTATTATCTGTGCAGGGCTGTGCCACGTTGGACCAGAAAGGGTTAAATATTTTACTGGTAAACTTTACCTTTTGGAAAGAAAACAGACAGCACTGTAATCACATCCTGATTTGCTTGTGAGGTTGCACTGAAATTTTCAGCATTTGGAATTAATTGTATCGCTGGCCAGATTTATATTCCCTTTCATTTCTGCATTGTGCGCCCGCTGCCTTATCCCTGACTTCATGGGTGCGCAACATGTTCCCAGGCATTACTTCTTGCATCAGCTCATTAGCACTAGTGACAGCTAAATACTGCAAATGCTGGAGATCTGAAAAAAAAACTGAAATTGCTGGAGAAACTCAGCAGCTGTGGATGCGTCTGTGGAGAGAGAAACAGAGTTAATGTTCTGAGTCCAATATAACTCTTCTTCAACTCCTCAGAACTAAGAAGTGTCCAAAATGACTCAGATCTAAAAATGTTGGACTCAAAATGTTAATTCTGTTTCCCTCTCCATAGATACTTCCACACCTGCTGAGTTTCTCCAGCACTTTCAGTTTTTTTTGTTATCTTAGTGCTAAAGTCTGGACTAAATCCTAAAACTAAAATACTGCAGATGCTCGACATCTGAAGTAAAAACAGTGAATGCTGGAATGGTTCAGAAGATTAGGCAGCTTCTATGGAGACAGAAACAGAGCTAATGTTTTGGGCTCATGGTCTTTCATTAGGGCCATTCTGAGGAAAGATAGTCAACCTCAGACTTTAGCTGTTTGTCTCTCTCTAAAGGTGCAGCCAAACCTGTTGCCTATTCCCAATACTTTTTGTGAATGTTTATCCTACTCTTTTCCTTTTTGGGTGAAGATGTCTGGTGTTTTGTAATAGATGCTGCAATACAATGGTTGAATTGGTTCGGAGAGTAGAAGGAAAGGGTAGTGGAAATGGCAAATTTTTTACATTCCTACACTTCAAAACATACATCATTGGCTGTAAAGCACTTTGGCCAGATGCTACGCAAAGGCAAATCTTCTTCAAATGCCAATCCCATGTCTCTATGCCAATGTTTGTTGCTATTCCAACATTCTAAGCATCATTCCCAAACTAAAGCCAATCAATCTAACTCATGTCCCTCAGAAACAAAATGCTAAATCTTTACACATGCATTAACTAGCTGTCAACATTCCAGCTCTTCTAGTATTGGGCACACAGAGAATAAATGCTCAGTGTTGTGCTCAGATAATGCACATTCCAGACATCCTTTAAAAGGCCACACAAGGAATTTGCCATCCACAAACTGAAATCTTACCTTTCAGTAGTATGCCCCATCAAGAATCTGTCCATCACACAACACCTCCTGATTACATCCCATATTTCGATCTGTTAAAAGATGTTCAAACTTTCATTTCTCTCTATTAGTTATCCAACTTGTCACTTTTGGTTGGTTCAAAACTGAAGCAGTTTTGAGGCTTTAGATGCTCTAGATAATAGCATTTAGCGTAAACAGTCAAAACCATATTTTGACGTAAATATTTCCATGGGTGCAAGGTAATGAGTTGAGGTAGAATTACACCCACGCACTGCTCAATGATTCGCCATTTCAAATTAAAGTTTTTATCGAAAAGGAAACTACAGGATTAGCTCTAAGCAGAAAAGATGTTTACCTCGCCCTTGTTGTCCTTGTTTCTTATTGTAATTTCAGTTATAAAGTCACAGCAGTAATTAACCCTTTGGCTGGCTCTCCTTTAGGGCCTTGTTTGCCAATTCCACAAACAGCTAAGGATTATCTTTTTCTGAGTTAATTGAGATTAATGAAAGAGTCTGTAACTTCATTAACCTGCACTGCAGTTGGGGCTGGCACTTCGATATTTTATACCACAGGATGCTAAGCCCCATGTCCGTAGCTCAGTATAAGATGTCTAATCTTAGCCAGTTTGGAAGAAATAGGAATCAATCACTTTCCTGAAGGAGAAATGAAAAAATTCTCCCTTATGACATCGCCATTATTTATCTTTCAACCAACACCTCAGAGTCAAATCAGGCATTGTTCTGACTCACTAACACAACCACAAATTTTATCTCCCGCTTCCTGATTTCAGCCTGGAATGTAGTCATAGTGACAGTCTGAGGAAGGATTGAAATGGGAGGAAAAGATAGGAAAGAGTTATTCTCCTCCTCCCTGTCTCCCACTTCCCACTGGAAGTGATGCTGGAGACAGCGTGAGCCAGAGTGGAAATGCTGTTACTTGTGGGTGACAATCCCATGGGCCTAAATTGTTGCAAACAGTTAGAATCAGGAGTGCAATCCCAAGGCTGTGGATCTTGAGCAGCAAATAGTTTAGTGGCTCCATCACATTGGTGGTGGGGAGGGGTGTAGGGTGCTGCAAGTGGCTTGAACAATTTGATGGATTTATCCTGCAATCCCCAGCACAGCATTGCTCAGAACAACTGCATTGGGTTACCTTCATCTGGAGTTCTGTATTGATCTCCTTAACCCTGTGCAATGGCAATGGGGATGAAGTGCAGGCATAGTGGTGACCCATGGTACAGCTCTGGCTGTTGTTCCTGGTGCCACTGTTGGGGTTGGTGTGGGTCCTCCTGCTGTGGTTTCCCATAAGAGGTCCATGCCATAGCTGTGGGGATATCAGTCACTCGCTGCAGTGAAAGCTGCCAGCCTGGAGGTTCAGACAAGGGTGACCAAAGTCCGAGGTTGGTGAAGCAGCGAAAGACATTCTCAGAACACATGCAGAGAGCAGGCCTCTTTCAGATAGGCTGGCCAGTGACTGTACAGTTTTTTATTTCCCTCTCTGTTTATAGGTTTTCCACTGAAGAACGGTAGAAAGGTTAGAGCACAGAAATGGGCCATTCAGCCCATCATCCCTGTACTGGCCAAGTAACCTAACTTCCTATTCTAATCCCATTTTTCAGCCATTGGCCTGTAGCTTTGCAGGTTACAGCACTTCAACAGTAGATTCAGGGTCCATTCAAAGGAGTTGAGGATTTCTGCCTCAACCACCTAACTGGATAGTGAATTCCAGGCACGCACTACCCTCTGAGTGAAAGATTCTTTCCTCACATCCCCTCTAATCCTTCTGCCAGTCACCTTAAGCCTGTACACCCTGACCTCACTGCCGGGGAAACAGATCTGCGCTGTGCACACTACCTAAGACTCTCTTTATTTTATACACCCCAATTAAGTCACTCTGTTTTGAGGAAATCAATCCTAGCCTATGCTATCTTCCTCTAAAGCTGTATTTTTCAAGCCCTTGTAAATCTCTTCTGTACTCTGCGTCCTATTATGTGGTCAAAACTTACTCAAAATTCCAGCTGTGGTGTACAGTTATAGCATTATAACTCTGCCCTTCTATTCAATACCTTACCCATTGAAGGATGGCATATGGTATGCCTTCATTATCATCTTATCTACTTGCCCTGCCACTTTTAGGGACCTGTGGACATGGACCACAACGTGTACCCTCTCAAGATTCTCTAGTTTATTCCTTTGCATTTTTGACCTTGCCATTTGTATAATCTCACACTTCTCTGGTTTGAATGCCACTTTCCACTATTCTACCCACTGAAGTGAACCACTCACATCTTCCTGCAGTTCACAGTCATCCTCTTTCCTATCAACTTTTTGGCTGACTTTGTGTCATCTGCAAATTTTCCAATCACGCCTCATTGATCATTACCCTTTGTTTCCACTAACTGAGCCATTTCAGATCTAACTCACTACATTCCCCTATATCCCATGAGTTTTAATTTTACTTACCAGTCTGTCATGTGGGCCCTTGTCAAATGCCTGACTGAATTCCATGTAGACAACATCCACTGCACTATCCTCAAAGAGGCTCCTTGTTACTTCCACAAAAGTCAATTAAGTTGGTAAGGCATAACCTACTCTTGACAACACCATGTTGACTATCCTTGTTTAATCCATGTCTTTCTAAGTAACTGGAAATCCTACCTCTCAATATTGATATAGTAAATTGCCCACCTCTGAGATCAGACTGATTGGCCAGTAATTATTTGGGCTATCCCTCATACCATTTATGAATAAATGGTAGGACATTCACTGACCTCTGGTGTTTCACCTCTATCTCTTTACAGCATTTGATATTTCCTCCCTGGCTTCTTTTAATAGCATAGGATACAACCTAGTTTTGAAGAAGTGTCATTGGTCCTGAAACATTAATTCTGCTTTCTCTCCACAGATGCTACGAGATCTGTTGAGTTTCTGCAGCAATTTCTGTTTTAGTTTAGGATATAATCTATCTGTCCCTGGTGCCTTGTCCACCTTCAGGGACGTCAGTCCTTCCACTATCTCTCTTCTCATTTTACTTAACTAATCTGATATTTCACACTCCTCCTTTTCAACTAGAATGTCTGAATCTTCCCTCTCCTTTGTGAAGACAGAGGCAAAATACTCAATGAGAAACCTGCCCACTTCTTCTGCATCAAAGTTTCCAGTACATCTCTGGTAGTATTTACCCTTTCCCTAGTCATTCTTTTGTTTTTAATGCACTGGCAAAACGTCTTTGAATTTTCCCTGATTTTATGAACCAACATTTTCTCATATCTTATCTTTGCTTTCCCTATTCCTTTTTTCCTGTCACCCCCATCTGTACTTTCTATGCTCTTCTAAGCTTCCTAAAACATTGCATTTTTTGAGATTGACACAAGCCCAATTTTTCTGCTTTATCTTACCCTTTGGCCCTCGATAGCCAGGAGGCTCCAGGTTTAGCAGTCCAATCCTTTTTCTTTTTGGGGATATATCTACAAAATGTAGCCATAAAATCTTGCTTTTGAATTCTTCCTGCTGATTTGCCACTGATGTACATTCTAGGCGCTGATTCCAGCTTACTTTTGTCAGATCATCTCTCGGCCTTCTAAAATTTGCCTTCCAGCCATTTAGAACTTTTAGTCCTATTCCATCTATGTCTCTTTCTATAATGATAAATCTAACTCTGTTATAGTTACTATTTCCTAAATGGTCACCTACTGCTGTTTCATCCACTGGCACAGTATTCCCTAAGAATGAATCGAGAATTGCACCCTCTTTAGTAGGGCTTGTTACGTGCTGGCTAAAAAGCAGCATGTCTTTGAATGTAGTTCAAGAATCTGGTGTCCTCTGTATCTTTCACATTGTTTAGAATCCCCTAGAATCTCTACAATTTGAAAAGAGGCTACTTAGCCCATCGAGTCCGCATTGATCCTCTGAAGAGCATTCCACCCTTCCCTATGCACCTACCATATCTCTGTAACCCTGCATATCTGATTGGCTAACTTACCTAACCTGCACATCTTTGGACTGTGGGAGGAAACCGGAGCACCCGGAAGAAACCCATGCAGACACAGGGAGAATGTGCAAACTCCAAATGGGCAGCCGCCCGAGGGTGGAATTGAACAATGAGCCACCATGCCACCCTTTTGTATCTCTGTGGATGTTAGGGTAGTTGAAGCCCCTACTATTATTGCTCTATTGTTTTTGCACTCAGAAATTTGACTACATATTTACACCTCTAACTCATCCCACTATTTGGGAGATGCATAGTTTAAACCAAGTAGTGTGACTTCCCCTTTTTATGTTTCTGAGCTCAAATCATATGGCTTCATTTAGAATGTCGCTCCCTCCTTCGTCCTTCTTTCTCCAAGAACACTATGTCCCCAAATTGTTTTATCCCTTTCTTTATCCTGCCTGAAGATTTTATATCCGAGGATGTTAAGATGCCATCCTTGCCCCTCTTGAAACAAAACTTCCAACTTTTCCGCCTGTCAGTTTCATTGATTAACGGCTTCGTCCTTTTCAACCCTGATGAATTTCACACATCCCGGGAAATGTGTGTGTTGACTGTTAAAGATTTAAAGACTGAATTTATCATTGACTATTTAAATATTTAGCTGACCGACCCAATCACTTCACAGAAGGTTTCCCACTTGTCTCCAAACTCGCTTCAGTATTTCCCAGAAATGGGTGGGGTCAAATTCTGACCCACCAGCATTTTTGGGGGTTTAATTTACCGGCCCATCCCTTCAAGCAGTTAAAATTCTGCCCTACATTTCAAAACTACTGAAACTAGTCTGTGAAATCCGATATATACAATGATTTTTTATTCAGTAGGTTTAGGATGTTTGGATTAAGATTCAGTCAGGGTGTCTGAACCAATGAACTTCTAAATTAAAGTCAGTTTGGTTTGAAGGCAGTTTATCATGAGTAGCTATGATTGGCTGAGCATAATATATCTGTGTCAGTCTCTTTTTGACAAAGGGGTACCTGACATAGTCAAAATTAACCGATATTTCCTGCAAATTGAAAGACACTACATGTTTTTGAATTAAATTATGCACTATTTTAACACTTCTAACCGCAGCACATAGAAAAGCAATTATCTACTTTTAATTTGAATGCTTCAAAGAAACCACAACCTTAAAGAAAATGTGATG